CATGCATTTTTCTGGTTGCTGAGATGCTCACGGGCAGTTGAGAACTTCTTGCTGACTTTATTGGTGCAGCAGCAGATATTACATCATCATGATAAAGACTATAGCAAAATGTAAACTACAATTAATCTTTGTCCTTAAAAATGTTCCAGCAGGCATTATACATTTCCTCTGTCAGTCTGAATCAGTTTTTTCATCCTTTTCCTCCTAAAGGACATTGATATTCCCTAACTCTGCTCATTTCTATTCAAAATCAAATGAACTTTCACTCATCTTCTAGAAATTATATATAATTTTTAGAAAAATCACATTAATACAAAGCACTGATGGGACATACTTCCCAAGTGCCAAAACTGAACTCTCTGAGCCAGACTCAGTGTCAATGTTCAAGCTTCCCAGTGAAAAACTTCTTTCTGCAAATTTTAAGCAACACTAGCTAATCTTTTCTATTTCCTATGAATAACTTTAAGATAGAGAAACCAATACATATATGGAACCAAGTTCAAAAATGAAAATATCATCGCTATAGTATTTCATTCAAGCCAACAACCAGAAACACAGCATAAAACTCATATTCTGGACACTGACAGCTTTACTACCTCAATTCACAGAGAATATCACCAAACAATAGAACTTGCAGCTACTTCAACCTCAGAGAATGTAATTTCATTTATTCATTTCAGTGACATTTTTTACTAGACTATAACTTCATGTATATTAGTTAGAGACACATGAAAAACCACATATTAGCTGAGGTGAAGCTGTGATGACTGCAGTTGTCTTAACAGTGTCAATCCAAACTTTATATGAATGTAATTTGCTAGCTCTAAATGACAGAGATATAATATAGATCTCGTATATCACCAAAGTAATAAATAATTAGTGAGCAGAACTGAGTAAAATGGCAGCTTGAACACCACCCCAAATTTTGAATCTTGATGCAGAAGCCAACTATCAGAATGATACATCTTTCTGCCTCGAATGATAAAACAGCTTTCTCACAACCTAACACACAGCACCATCTGGCATGAACTGAGGAAACGAAGAACTTCTGGAAGAGAAGCACAAAAGCAGTTTTGTTTCTTCAGAATTGTGCAAGATATTGACACAAGTCTTTCAGAAACAGTGATTTGGCTGCAAATGTGGCTCAGTGAAACCACGTCCTGAAGACATGTGTGTGCAGCTAATGATCTTTAAAAAATGTTGTTGAATTGCAGTGATTGGATATGGGACAGGCACTGCCAGAGTTAAGACAGTGTATGTGGAAAGTCCTCTGTCTACCAAACTGGCTGGGTTTCAGAACATCATCTCACATCTCCTACTGAGAAATTTTAGGAGCTCAGGACACATTTCTTCAGCAGAGCTCAGCAGTTACTCACACAAGGACTACAAACACCCAGCTGAGCTGTTCTTTGAGCAGCACTGGCTGCTGGCTGGGGCTGAACGCCTCCCATGTGCAGGGGGACAGGAGTGGTCTGAGCCCATCCCCAGGGGGGATGAGGAGCTGGCCCCCACAGGCACTGCTCAGGGTTAGCCCCAGATGCTTGCAGTACAAACACAAAGGGAGCCAGAGCTTCAGACTGCTCTGCTGATATCAGCACAGATTTATTTCAGCATTGCTTTTGGAAAGTGACTTTTAGTGCAGACTGTTTTCTCAATGATCCTTAAAAGACACTCCTTTCTTTCTCATCACCTTCACCTAAGGCAAGAACATCCAGTAGCATTGATCTATTTGCTGCTAGTTTTCATTAATTTTACCCTCCCTAAGGGTGGTGCAGCTTTGGTGCCAGCTAATTAAAACCTATTTAGGGATGCTCAGTGCACTTTATCAGACCAGAATTAGCTTTGCTGCTTTAATGAAGACTACAGTTTTCTCTGTTATTACCAAATAAATGTTATTATATCATATTGCATTATATTTGTATTGCATGGTGAAGATACAGATGGATTTAGAAACACTTATCTGGGTTGAGGTACACACAAAGATGCCACATTTAGTAATTATCTAATATTTCTTTAAATCCTTTCACTTAAGTCAATATATATAACACACCAGCACATTAGTGAAGTACTGGAAGAAGCTGCCAGCTTTATGCTCCCTCTAGGGAAGTACCAAGTAAAATGCATTAATGAAAAATTGTGAATGTCTGGTAATGAATATTATTTATGTACAACAATTATTGAAAGTGGATGAGCATTCACCACCTTGAACTCAACTGCTTCACTAATAAAGACTCTCAGAAAGAACATATGTTCCCCAGATTCTTAACACTCATGTGAGGTTAATTATCCAGTGCAGATAGCCCATATCACAGGGTATTTTGTACTTCTGTAGAATTAAAAAATGCATCACATAATAAATAAATAAAAAAAGACTGTTTGTTGGAAGTTACTTAGAAGCAATTCTTGTTTCTTCCATACATCAGTAATAAATAATTTGTCAATAGCAAAGCTGTGCATTTTGAACCTGCACCCAGTGAATTCAGGGATAAAGCTCCCATGTCAGCACTGCAGGACCAGAGCTTTTCTGCAGTAGAGAAGTGACTGCACCACATACCTGCTAGCTGCTTCTCACAACATCCTTTAAAAACTTGGGCACCACAAGGATGAAACTGCTGAAAAGTCCCACTAATTACCTCAAAAGATTGTACATCAAAGAGTAGAAACAGAAAACTCATTAAAGGCTCGACAGACTAGAAATCTGCTGCAATCTTACTACGCATTAGTAGCATACACTGTACAGAAAGGCAGTATTTTAGGATTAAACTAAAATAGATGTAGTTGCAATCCACTCAGTACATTTTAAAATATGAGTTGAAATTGGTTTCCTTCCAGAATTTTTGCTGGAAACATGTCGAACCAGACCTCTGTTCAATCTAATATTCCAAGCAAGGGTTGATGTTTCTCTGAGGAACTGAAGGAATATTTGGCTGAGGAACCCAAGTCTCTCAGCATCGTAATAACCTGGCACAATGTGTGAAAGTATTTTCATCACCCACAAATCTCCTGTGCTCTCCATTTACTCCTTCCACAAATGCCAAATACCTCTAACAGTCTCATGACCCTCCCTAGAAACAGAAGACAGGTCCTGCAAATTGAAGATGTTACAGAAAATGAAACGGTTTCCTAACTGAAGTCCCCAATTAATAGGGAACTGCAAGATGTTTTCTTGAGATACAGAAGGTGTTAGCTGGTGACTCATCAATCATTTCCCTTGTTTCTGGTTGACAAAAGCATTAAATGATGTTAAAAACATCACTATTTGATGTGGAAAAGCAGGACTAAAGCTGCAGTAGATACAAGGACGTTACCTGGCTGGCACTGTGAGAAGTGGTGGGTTTTTCCCTTGGTGTTGAAGGGACACACATGCACAAACAATGTGACGGGTTGTGAGACAGGCTCATAAAAACTTAATGTTGTTGAAATGCTTAGCTCAAGGAGAAAGAACATGGGCCACTTTAACATTTAGGCTGCTTAAGAACTTTGTTATAAGCACAGAAGTTCAATCTACTTTTGATATGAAAAGAAGCATTTGTATTGTGTTAATTGTGTAACTATAAAATCTTGAGATGTGTTAATTTGTTGAAGAGGAATGGATTAGGCTGGAGAGAAGGATACTTTGACATTGAATGATGAGGTTCTTTTACATAGGAAAAAGAGATTTTTTTCAAGGTCTACTCTCACAATAAGGATTCTGATGAAGTATTATAAAGTCGCTGTGACCTGACTGACTCATAAATATAAACAAATTTATGTACAGCAATGCAATAATGTACCTGTGATCATATTTAACTTGATTAATATGTAAACAGGATGACTTGGATTATTAAAGGTCATTTTTGAAGAATGGATCTTGTGTATTTATTAGCCTCTGTTCATCAGTTTGTTCAGCTAAACCAAAGAAGCCATGATAACCTTGACACTTTTATGAGATATGTGAGCTCATTCCAACTCCAGAAGCACAGCAGCAACATGTGCACTTTGTGGACAGGGGCAGGCTCCTCCTTATTTTCCAATAGTTTGAAAAATAGGAAAAATCAACTGTCACCAAGTTCTGACAGTTTAATAACATAGTGAAACAAGTACATTTGAGATAACAAGCCTTTCTACTTCAAAAACCAAGTCAAAATTTCAGACTATATCAAGCTGCTTGTGAGTATCTGTATCTTTAATTTGGTGAGAATAGCAACAGTCCTTCCCAACCTCAAACTCATGATGTGCAAATTAAAAAATTAATATTAAGGCACAGCAGTGATCTGGAAACTCCTTCCTAGTTAGCTGAAATGAATATGTATTACAGGTGCTCTTCCATGCCAAAACGCGGATGACCTGAATTTTTGCAGCTTTGGTTGCAAATTCTCGAAATTTGTGGTCTTAATTCCAGAAATCCAGTTTCTGCTTTGAACATGCTAACCCAAACAGTGGCCCTCACACTTTCGCCTCTTACAGCTTCACTCGAGTAGCATAAATACACATTATCAAGCAAGAAAATAGAATTTCAGCACAATACTGGTAAAAACCTAAATCTATTCCAGTATCTCTGATAACCCATTTTCACCAAGAAACTGAAATAATGCATAACGCTGAGGTCTGTGTTTAAAGTAAAGCTACAGTGAATCTCAACACAGAAGAAAATGCAATATCCAGAATTATCCTGAGGTTGTGCATTTAGAAATGTTTGTGTAGGATTATCTTCTTCAAATAAAATGTCAATTTAATCAATAGTAAATTGAGCTGAAAACAACACACATTTGAAAACATTTCAGGAAGACATCCAATATTTTTGGGATTCAAGCCAACAGAAATGGAATGAACAGAAGGTAGCGTAGGTGGGGTAAATGGGGCCTAGCTGCTGCCTCATCAAGTGCTTGTAACAGTCAAACCCATATAACAATCCATTAAAAACCTATCTGGGGACTCATTTAGTAGCTGACATCCTGCATGGACTCTTCTCACATATCTTTTGTCAAACATTATAATTGTTCTTCACGTTTAAGACTTACCGGTCTTTTCCAGTCTCCTTCTTAAATATCGCATCGCAGTAACTCATGCGCTTCTCTGTCGTCACGTAGATTTTGGCAGTTGGGTAGCTGTCAACAGTCTTCTTCAGCATGTTGTACACAATGCCATTTCCATCCCTCCTCATGTTTCGAAAAGGACCCCAGATCACATAAACTGTGTTGTTGGTTTCCTTGAAAAAGTACTCCGGATTCTTGAGCAGGAGAGGCACGCTTGTGTGAGAGACCACTCTGACAGTTGTCCTCTTCCCAACATCTTCCTCATAGCCCTTTGTGGGAGCATTGTTCATCCTCCATATGCAGGAGGACTTGTCTATCTCGGTGCCCACCCTCTGGCCAGCCATCTGTCCCGAGTTTGAAACAATGGCACAGAGGTCACAGTCAAGTTGTAGAGGCTGGAAGACAGGAAACAATAATATATATTGCAGGTTTTTCTCTTTAAAACATTAAAGACTGGAAATTCAGTTAAAAGAAAAACAGGTACAGTACAACAAATTGAAAGTAATGCCTCTCTTTAAAAAAACAAAACCACAATCCCCATGTGGCAGAGCTGCTCGGAAACTCTGCCACTACAAAGCTCCAAATGCAAACCTCCTCAGTGAAATAGGCAGTTCCAATCTTTGCCTTAGTTAACACCTTGCAAAGTCAACTATACAAATAATCATTCCTTCTCTTCCTCTAAATGTTACTCTTTTCACTAAAAAGCAAGGAAATAAAGAAGCAGCAGAAAGCAATATTTAGATCAATGTTCTCTTTTAACAAGGTGTCAGCAATAGGAAAAAACCTACTAAAAAAGTAATGCTGGAAGTTTAACTGTACATTAACTGTGTTTTTGTCTGAATGAATAGCTCCCAAATTTGTGACAGAAGTCGAATGTGAGATGTAACTCTAAAAAGCAATCTAATAGTATGAAAATCCTGCAGCTGGAAAGGAAATGTGGACAGAGGAATATGTCCAGAGAGCAGTTATGATCCATGGAAAATGAAAGGCAGATGGACTGGTGACACCTGAACTAGGAACTTAATCCTGAGAAAACTTCAGTCAAAGACACTATTTCCTGACCACGTTTCTAGGGTGCTATTACTCCAGTATGAACTGAAAATAGAAAAAAATCATCTAACAGAGATATAAGGACCTATCTGATGTTCCATTTGTCACAGGATAAAGAGTAAATGCTTTTCATTCTTTTGTACCTACAGACTAAAAGGAAATGCCCTCTATTTAAATTTGATTGTATAGAGTTCAGTTAGAAATCAAAATCAAATGAAAACTAGATCCATCAAAAACCCCCCTACAGAAGATCATCCAGGTCAGAGATAACCTACATTTTTTTTGTATGGTCACAGACTTGATTCTCTGTCATGCTCACAACTGGGAGCCAGTGACCTCAGTTTAGTATTTTTTAGGAAGAATTCCCTCCACGTTCTTTGGACATTTACTCTGACAGAATGCTAGGTGCTGTTCTGATCAGACTTGTGGTTATTTCTCTTCAAAAATCACACCTCATTTAGCTGATGTGAATGAATAGCCTGCCTACATTTGACCACTATAACCCTAGGATGCAATTGCTGACAAAAAATCCGAATTCTTTGATAAGGGGGAATAATGCAAGGAAAAGAGACAAACATCTGAAGAGAGCCAAACTGTAAGAGCTAAAATATCTCATCTTTGTGTGACAAATATTGTACTGAATTAAGGTGCATCCTGCAAGACTTGTGCAGAAAACCTCACAATTTCAAAGCTTTGATTTCTCTATTGTGATTGATTTGATTTCGTTATGCGGCTGGTTCAGGAAAACATTCTTTCCTCATTTCATCAGTAACTAAAGATTCCTGATTGAATGCAAAAGCATTGTCAGTGTTTCCTTTACAGAGCACCATGCATTTTTTATAGCTGTTACAGTTTTAGAGAGCTGTCCTGCATGGCTCTCTGACAGCAGGGATGAAATCCCAGGAGATGCAGCTGAACGCAGCCATCTTTCTGTTTACTGCTTACTTACAGAAATTCTCTCTAAGACACATTATGAGGACATGGCTGGGTGACCTAAACAAATCCATGGGCATAACTCATATCCTAGAATGAAGTGAATTGTTACAGTCCCAGTAGATTAATTTATAGCTTTCAGGGTGAACTTTCGAACTAACAAACGCTGAATATGAAACTGCTAGATAGGAAAAGCCAATTTGGTCAAGAATCTGGTTTCATTTAAATTTGTCTCATCCTCAGAGCTGCTTTTTTCACTAAATTCTTCCTTCTTCATTAAAATGGAGCTGGTCTCTTAAATTTGGAATAGTTTGATTTTCTCACCTTAGTTAGAAATGCATTGCACATTTTCTGTTCACTGAGTGCAACTGTTCTGCTTGAATAAGCTGAGTACACTCACTCCTGCAACTGTGTCCCCTGGTTTTCTAGCTCTTTTGTTGTGATTCATTTATCTTGTTCCAATTTATGAAGTGCTTTCATAATACTGAATGCCTATACTAGGTCAACATATAATCTGCTCTTCTTGAACAGAGTCAGAGGCTAACCCGCTCCCAGCTCTATCTCAATAAATATTTTTGCAATGTAGAGAGATTTTTCATGTTCCAATATGCATATTTCTCAACAGAGATCCCAGACAGAGTTAGGAGACTGACTGATACCCATGATAGATATTCCACTGACTCCAGAATCACCCACTGTCTTCATCATCTTTTTGCATCATATCTCCCTCAACATATGAGAAAACACACATCAGTATTCACTGACTGAACCCCATATGGAGACAGGGCAGCAGTTTGTGGTGTTGGTTTGTAAGTGTCACAGACGAGAAGGGCAGTTTCAGTAACACACATGAATCCACATACAATACAAATGGGTCTTCCAGGCAGTTCAGGCTGCCCTCATCTGCAGAGATGGTCCAGCAAGAGCCCAGCAATCCCCAGTGGGATTGAAACAGATTGGCAGGACCACACAGAAACTTGTGCTGCTACTGCTTATCCTCTGTGGATCTAAAACATTAAGAACCATTTACCTTTTCTTCTCTTTTCATGTACTTAGACATTTATTTCACCTCTAAACACGAAGGGGGCTGAGCTATTATTGCTGCTAGAAAATTGCTCATTTTGTTGCCGACCAGAAGAATGTAAAAGTCCTCAGCAGAGCAGCTGGGTAGGTTCTTACAAATAGTCCTATCGTTTTCTGAATGATACATTGTAACTGTTGAGGAACACTTATATTTTAATCAGTAAAGAAAATGAAATGTCTGACCTTTCAATTTCCTGTGCAAGCTTACAGACAATAGAAAAGATAATTAAAACTGTGAATTAGAACTCACAAAACAGTGCCATTTCTCTAGCAAAGAGAAATAGCTGTGTAATAAAGGTCACTTATCAAACAGTTCTAGTTATTAAATCTTTGCATTTAGCACCGAAGTGGCTTCATTGAATCAAAGGTCAAATCATTAAATAACAAAATCAGCCAGAATTAGAAAAGGTCACAAACAAATCCAACAAAAGTAGGTCACAAAACATGATTCTCTAACACACAGGATTTCATTATTTGAAAAATTGCTTACTTTCCAAATTTGACAACTCCCCCACCATTTCCAGTGTTTCCACCAGGAGACTGCAATTCCAGCCACAGAACCATTTCTATGGGTAGGTTTCCCAATGACACAGATCTTGGACCACCAAGTTTCCCAGCCCTGTCCATCTGCTGAGGTCCACGTGGGGGTGATCTTAGGCCAGGTCTCTGAACCACAAAATAACATCTGGACAGACCAGACACACACCAAGCTCTGGTCTCAGTGGAGACTGACAGATTCACTCCTCAGCTGGACCAAATCCAGCTCAGAACCTCTGCAGATGGAATTTCCACTAATGAAAAGCTGAATTTCTCTTGTGGCTTCTCAGCACTACAGACCAGTGGTGCGCTCTCTCTGACCAACTCTGTTCCACTCTGAATCCCCCAACTAATCATGCAGACAGTTAGGAAACTCAGACTAAACTTTCTCAATTGTTACTTTAACAATAGATTGTAATTTTGTAAATTGGACGCAATGCCCATTCACTACATAATGAGGCAATTATTAGCAGCTTGCCACATATTAATTTGCTCCTTTAATGTTGAAACAAATGAGATCTTTTCTTATAATCATCCTATTTGAGTCAATTCTAACAAAGCCGATTGAACAAAGCTCCAGAGAGACTTTCTTTATTTCAATGCCATTTATTCTTCTACTCTTCTTGGATGTCTTTAGAGTTTTAGAGGATACAACATTTATAATGATGCCAATAGGGAATAGATTTTGCCTTTATTCTTCTTGATGTTCTTTTGAGGTCTTTGAAATGAAAGGTACAAGAGAGGCATTAACCGTCTGGCATTGTTTTTATTGCTTTTCTCTACTTTACAAGCAAAAAATGCATTTTAATTTTTCCTGTGTTTCAGTGATTAAACAAGCTGGTTTTATCTACACTTACTCAATTTCTTCCGACCTCTGACTGGGAGAAAAGACTTGCCAAGCTTCTCTAGGAAAAAAACCTCAGCACATTAAAAGAAAAGAAAGACTATTTTTGTGTTCATCCAGCAAGAACTGCCAAATTAGTACAGCACTGTATATAACTTACATTATATGACTAACATCAAGCAAAAAAATGATAAAAATGATAAAAAGACAGGTCTGATTACCCTGAGTTCGTGTTTGTTTCCTCTTCCCCTCTACCAGCGGTATTGTGTTTTTTTTACCTTCAGCAGCTGACTTTGGTCCTAACCCTCAGCATCACATCCCAGTAAACATCTCTGTCTTCATAAAATTTAATGTTAAGATTTCATAAAGATTTTAACATTTTGACATTATTTTGAAATAAGCCAAATGTCAACATGCATCCCATTTCCAAATAAACAGAATATGATCTGCTTCTTCATAAAACTGTTCCTGAGACTCAAGTGCCTGGGATATTTTATTTAGATGAATGTCACTGATATGTACATGAGTTCTAGTAGAAAGTTTTTTTTAAAAAATTGAATGAAGTGGAAGGGAATGCATAGGAGGCACATAATGGGACTAATCTTACAGCAGGAGACTGAATAAATAACCATATTTGAACGTCTTTCTATATACACTGACCCAGTTGTTAAGAGAACTGTTTGATTTGCAGCTCTTGTTACAGCTCCTTAAAGGGGCTGTACCAGCCCTTTGCTTGAACAAATATCTCATGGATTCTTCATATTAGTGGTAATGAGACAGAAAAACAAAGGAAGCTTGGACTTTGAGCGGAGGTTGAAACTTGTGCACCAAAGTCACCCACCCCATCTAAACTTTCAACCAGCAAGTGTATTTTTGAAACAGTTTTATTTCTCACAAAAAAAAAAAACAAACCACAAACCAGAAACTCAAGCCTTCCAAATACAAACC